CCTGCCACCAACTCGACTCTACACTTCCACACCCACAAAGTCCTGCATCTGCCGCGAAATCTGCACTCCAAGGCCCACAAAGTACTACACCTGCCACGAAATCTGCACTTCAAGGCCCACAAAAAGTCCTGCGCCTACCACAAACTCTGCACTCCAAGGCCCACAAAGTCCTGCACCTGCCACGAAATGTGCTTTGCAAGGTCCACAAAGTACTGCACCTGCCACGAAACACGAAAAACAAAAAAATCCAAAAAAAAACGAAAAAACATCCAGAAATATATTCGCAACCAAATAGGGTACAGGTTTCAAACTTGCAGGTACGCCGAGTTGATCAGACTCGGTATCCCGTGATTGTGGAAGCTTCGTTGAGTGCGGTCCCACAATCACGCCGCACTCCCCTGCTAAAAAACGAAAAGCACAACCAGTACAGTCCAAGTGGATCCCTGTGACTTCAAGGGGCACAAACACGCACACGCCTCCCCGAGGGGAGGCTTCTCTTCGAGAAGCGGTGTCCCTAGTAGCGTCCTTGCACCTAGTAGTAAGGCCAGGAGCCCCTAGTAGCATCCCACTCTAAGGTCCCGACAGGAGGGAGGGGTAGGGAGAGAAAAGAAGAAAGAAAAAGAAGAAAGGAAGGGAAAAGGAAGGTGTTCCCAGCTACGACACAAGCGTCCAAGGACACACCAAGAGAAGAAGAGAAGGGTTCCCAGCTATGGCGAAAGCATCCAGGGACACCCAAAAAGGAAGGAAGAGGGTGAAAGGAAAAAGAAAAGGAGAGAAGGAGAAAAAGAGAGAAGGAGAAAAAAAAGAGAGAGAGAGAGAGAGAGAGAGAGAGAGAGAAAGAGGGAAAGGAGAAAAGGACAAAAATACGAGGACGAAAGCAGGTGTTCCCAGCTACGCGCAAGCGTCCAGGGCCACACCAAGGAGAGGGGTATACCTGAGTGTTACATTCAGGAATACACCAAAAAGGCAAAGAGAGAAGAAGGGGAGGGTAGGGGGAGGAAGGGGACTAAGGCTCCGGCAGACTCCAACGAGCCTTGAACAAGCTTCGGCCGCTGCGGCCACGTACGCCATGCCAAAATGGCTGGCAGCTTTGACCGCTATAGGCCATGGTCACGTAAAGGCGTGAGCCAGCTTGGAATTCAAGAAGTAAACAAATCTGAGTACTCTCGGCCTAGGCCACCTGCGCCCGCTCTGGGCACGTACATCTCCGGGCAGGGGAGATAGGACAAACGCCACACTTATAGAAATGCGTGCTCATGTGAATGCGGTGCCACACGCCGACCTAGGTAGCCAATTCCTAAGGGTACAGGTTTCAAACTTGCAGGTACGCCGAGTTGATCAGACTCGGTATCCCGTGATTGTGGAAGCTTCGTTGAGTGCGGTCCACAATCACGCCGCACTCCCCTGCTAAAAAACGAAAAGCACAACCAGTACAGTCCAAGTGGATCCCTGTGACACACACGCACACACTCGAGACCATGCGTACTGACACGACTTGCGGTTTGCCACTCGCCAGCCTAAGTAAAAGACCTAAGAAGCCAGGGACTATGAAACCTGAAAGTGAAATTGGAGTGGCGTCCAACCAAAACGACATCTCGAAAGGAAATTCTCAAACTCAAGAAGCACGATCATTTCGAGCGATCGACGAGTGCGTGACTGCAGATGCAAAACCGATGCAAAGGCCAGCAAGCTTGTTGTAGTTGGGTACTTCATCAGGCTTCCCTGATGATATTCTAGGATCGTATGAGGAGCTTCGTTGGATGGAGCCTCATACGTCCTCTCCATCCCCCTGCTGAAGGTAAAAGTTCAAGAGTGCAATCAAAGTGTACGAATCAACGGATTCCCTGTGATTCCAAGGGCTTCACACATACACACACACACACACACACACACGCAGAGCTGTGCATTGAAGGAACTCTTGAGGTTTGGAAGTGTGTCCTGCAACCTGCAAGCACTTCTTCCCCTCTACTCAGTGGCACAGGGTCATCAGTTTTATCTCCTTTTTCGGTGAAGTTGGTATGAGTGCTGAAGGTCGCACTGCATTGTGGTGTTCCGCTTGTGCTGTGACGAGCCAGTGGACATCAGTGGGGAGGCAACAAGATCGAGTCGAGGAGTTTGGGCAGAAGCGAATCAGCCATTTGTGTAGGACAGTATGAGCACCTGTGGATGTCAATTGTTTTTCATGCTTTTCTTCTTACCTTACGGTGTACATATGCTACAATGCGTGCATCTAGCTAGCCAGAAACACAAGCACACATGAACCGCTCAATCATGATGGCATTGCCTGCAGATCGCCTGCCATTTGGACTGGACCCACATCAGTGAAGGGCCTGGTGAGACTGATGCCCCCTTTTCATCAAAGGGAGTCAATAGCTTTGCTGCAACCGCAGTCATGTAACTGTAATCTTGTCACCTTAAAGAAAGGCAGTGTTGCCTTGAATTTGACGTGAGGTGCCTACGGCCAGCAATCGATCGTCGAGTCGCAAGAGGAAGCTTGTGAAACATTGTTTGGCTTACGTTTTCATTGCGCCTTTGGTTGTGAATTTACACACGCGGAGCTCGAAGTTGTGCACAAGCTGTCGCTGCCCCAGGATCCGGCAGCGGAAGTGGAGTACTTTGGTTTCCATGCAGACCATATCCACGAGCCTGCGTTCAGCTCTTAGACTTAGATCAAATATCCATGGATCCTGACGGACCGGGTTCGAGCTGTCCCTTTGTGCTGGAGCGCCTGGCAGCACGATTGTGCTTGGTTCTCTTCCGACAAGGCGAAGCAAGGGCCAGAATGCTCCGGTGGTGGCACTTAGCCAGGTGGAGGCTAAACTGCTTGTGAATTCTGTTATATTTGGCTACAACCTTGTTTATCTTGTCTTGTTCGTTCCCTGAGATTGGTCACTAGGTCAGGCTTGGTTGCTCTTTGAAGACGTTTGAGGTTGTGGGAAACCCTCAAGATTTAGAGTAGCATGACTTGAGGTCCACATTTCGGTGGCCAACCGGTTGACGGTGTCAAGGCAGGGGTGACAAAAAATTGCCTTTCCCAGCAATAGTCCATGGTGTTTCATGCTCATGCGACCCTGCGACCCATGTGTGCAGGTTCCGCAATCTCATGTCCACAGCAGCTGGCCAGAAGTTTTTGAATGAGAACCTGCACCGAACCTCGGTCCTTTCGCCAGAAGCTCGGTCCGGGCTGCTGGAAGTTTCTGCGGCGGCGTTTCAGTGTGCTCTTGCAACAAACAGTCGGAGCTGAACCGCAGACCTTCACAAGCTGAGCCTCAACGCTCAGGTCTCACATTCCAATCATGTCACCTCGACGCGCCTGGAGCTTGGTCTCACCAGGTTGCACAGCTTGGTGCAGCCTTGCAGCATTGGGGCTGCATGGCGAGACGCTTTCAAAGTCAAGATTGCAGCCTGACGGAGTGCCCCATTGACGGAGGCCATGCAAACCTCGACAATGGGCCTGGCTTTGCAGAGCAAGGAGGAGCTTCCTGGAATGCAAAGTCACATTCTTAGAGCCTCATGGGCGGAGAGGCCTGGCGAGCAAGAGGTCCTTTTGTTTCCAAGCAAAGGAATTTGAACACACAACCGGAGGAGAATGCCCTCAGGATCACTAGTGTCACGCTGATCATGCTATGGCATGCTATGGCTATATTTGTCAAAGTTCTAGCCAGGAAACTGGAACGACACTTATGTTGTATGTGTTTGAGGCTCGAGCAGCATGGAGGACTCTTCTCGAGGGCCGCAAACACCAAGCGCTCCAACCTCCTACCCGCTCTATGTGCGGCTGAGGGCACGGCCCGAAACGTCAACAGACTGAACCGTGGGAGGTGGCACTGGTGACGTCTCCTGCGCAAGTTGCTTTCTAATGTGGGGAAGCACTACAAAGTAGTGGCATGAAGCTTTGTCGGATGTCCTTTGTAACACCAGGCGTGAACACCTGTGTCCATATGCAGTAGCTTAAGTACCTAGGACTCCTAGGACCTAGTAGTAGCTTACTCTTACTCTAGGTGCTACTCAATTAAGTAGGAGCCGGCTGAAAAGAAAAACCTAAATCATGCGACAGGCAGTGGTTGCAGACTGGAGGGTGCCGCCTGAAGAGGCGAAGGAGTGCACTCCTGCCTCCGCTTCTTGTTACGTTCGTAGCGATGGCCTCCAGCCTACTTGTGAGGTCCTCCACCGAGCATAGTGTCCTTGTTACTAGTAGCTTCTTGTTACTACTAGTAAGGCACTTGTTACTACTAGCGATGCACTTGTTACTAGTAGCTTCTTGTTACTACTCTCTAGTAAACCAATACAGTCAATTCTGCTGTTGACAGTCGAACAAAGAATCACTACCCAACCTGAAGCCGCGACCTGGTCAGAAGTCTGAAGGAAACAAATGAACTCATGACGGCTAACCCGCATGCGGGTTGGGAAGGACTTTGTTGTTGAGAGCTCCGCTCGGAACCTTTTGGCACAGCGGGAAAGCAAGAAGGAAGAGGTCAAGGAAGAAGCCAAGGACAGCAGACTGAAGATTTGATCATCTGACTGAGACTGAAGTAGAAACATATTGAATCCACAAAGCTTTTGTAGAGTCCTGTGCTGTAGAGGACACCACGAATCCTGGACTCAATTTGCGATTGGAGGACTGATTCTAGTCACCTTCACGGAACAAAATACCGTCCAAGATTTTAAGACTCTTGGGTAAGTGAGTTAAAGCCACATGCCGTAGGTCTGCTGTAGCCATTCATAGACCACACCTTCTGGTTGCCATGTGGAGAAGCCAGGAGCCAGGATCCAAACAGCTGGTCCAGCGAACTGGGTCCACATTGCCTCTTGGGCTCTGGATGAAACTCTCTCATACCAGGTTCTTCACCCCAAGGCCCTAGCCTTCCGACACATGGGCTCCTCTCTCTCTCTCTATATATATATATATATCTGTAACATGACCAAAACAGGCCTGAACGATCCATTGGAGGGCTTTGGGTGGTAATTTGCTACAGATGAGGAAGGTCCAGGTCAAGGTCTTCTATTGGCCAAGCCACCAAATTTATCGCGAAGGTGACTTCACAGCAGGATTCTTGCTTTATATGGGTTACCTTTAGCATTTAGTTCCACTGAGTTGGCAAGGTCTCCGGCACCGGAGGAAGAGGACGTGGTGGAGCCACCAGGTGAGTTTGCGGTCTTGACTCGTGTCTCGTCGGGCCCAGACGTCAACAAGGCATTCTTTGAAAATTGCATCCTTGTTTTTCTCTTTTCTAAAGGCAGTCTGTGTCTTGTGGAAAGGTCAACCAGAGGATGAGACAGGCAATTCCAAGCTTGTTGGTAACGTCTTGGAGCATCTGATGCGGGAGGTGCCCAGAGGGGTGAACTTGTGGACGATCCATCTCACAGCTCGCTAGGTCAAAGGTTTGCGAGCACCGTCGCTTTTCTGATTGATTTTCCAACCATGTAAGAGAGTTTGGCACATCGCAAGAGTTCAGCTTCTGAATTTTCAAGGGTTTCCCACAAAGTGCTGACCATGCGCTTTCTCTGTTCCAATAGCTCTTCTTCTGCTTTGTTACTTTGCTTGTCATTTTGTGGACCTTTGTAGTTTTTGCCTGATCCACTGGGCACCTCTTGGAGAACGGACAGACCTTCCAGGTGATTGCAGAAGAAGAGTTCGGTAGCATCCTTGACCGGATGCTCTCCCAGGCCGACTCGATCGGTGCTTCAGACTTGATCGCCTCGGTCGGAGCGGAACGGCCGAGAACGGCCGCCCAGGACGTTCCGTTCTTCCTCCAGTACGAAGGAAGCGATCCTCCAGCATTGCCCCCTCCGGATCATCCTGCCAGAGCCCAAGTCGAGCCCCTGCCAAAGCGCACCACAAGAAGGGAAAAGGATGGAAAAGGGTATAGACGGTATAGTAGATGGGTTGTTTGCGTGTGAGCCATTGGGAATGTCGAGTGTATTGATGTTTTGGTCGCAAAAAAGGCAGCTCCGGAGCCAGCTCTGCGGCCCCGAATCCTGGAGGAGTGCATTGGATGGTTCGAATGAGCGATGGCCTCCAACCTGAGAGCGATGGTCTCCAACAAGAGAGCGATGGCCTCAAACCTAATAGGAATGGCCTCTGGAAATCGTTGTTTCTCAACATTATGCTGTTGGTCCGTTGGTGGATGGGATGCGCTGGGTCATTGAGCTGGGCAAGATGCGATGGATGCGAGACATTGACCTATTAAAGAAAGGAGCAGAGAAAGACGCTGTGCTTCAGCCACCATGAGCACTTCAGTAAGCCCAAACAAATCGGGTTTTGAACAGAAAGAGCAACCTAACCATTTGCACGTATGCGTCCTTTCGCCACTTGCATCTGCACTGTATTGAGGACACCTCTCCTTCAGAGGAGCCTGTTTCCCATTATTCTGTTTTAGTCAGTGTTAGCCGTGCATGATATGCAAAGTTTTGAAGAATCAAGCCTCATTTGTTCATACCTAGGTCAGTTCCAGTGCCGGAAGACACTGATACGGAGGACTTATGCTGATTCTGAATCAAGCAGGTGGCAAAGAAAGCAATTGATCAATTTGTTTGGAGTCTTCATCCAAACCACTCCATCCAGCAAGTGCAGGAAGATGATGTCTTTGTCAGCAGCAGCAGCGCTCTGCCATGGCCTGGCGCTTGATGACTCGATGACTGCTTTTCTCGACTTCTGCTTTGGCGGAGCAAGGTCCAATTGTTAAGAGCAACTCATGTCTCATGTAACCATTTGACTATAGATTGCTAAAAGCAGTGCGAGTCTGCGTGAAGCCCCCCGCCCGAAGAACGTTTGTAAGGGATTCTCGTGTGTCTTTCTTTCTCAGGTCAGATTTGCTGCTGGACTTCAAGGTCCCGCACGCTTGGGACATTTCCAGGGGCTTTTCTATTTGCTTCAGAAGTTCTTGGCATCGGCAGGCCCCCCCCCGGAACTCAGTCAGCGCCACGACAGCGTACATGTGGAGGCACGAAAAACGACTCTCTAAAGCAACCAGGAAGCTACAGCATCGTGTGCCAGGAGCAAAGGCAGAAGTTGCTTCTCCAAGTTCCACGGGCGAAAATCAGCTTGAAGCTCACTTGCCGCTTTCGCATGCTTTAAAGCTATCTTGCGGCTTTCGCATGCTTTAAAGCTAACTTGTACAGATCTCTCTCTCTCTCTCACACCTCTTGCCTTGTTCCGGTATCAAAGTGGTGGGCGACTGATCCGGGGCAAAGGCAGCCAAAGGTAGACAGAGGCAGGTAAAAGCAAGCAGATCTTATCAGATTCTCATGTCTTTTTCCTCCCAAGGTGTGGCGTTGATGCTCTTTCCATTGAAGCTTCCAGTGCACCCTGCACACCCGAAGCGCACATCAGGCGGATTCGTTTAGCAGGTTGCCTAGGACAACGAGCCGGGTCACTGGGTTTCACAGCTCCATACGGCCCACATTCATAGCTACTGCTTCACGCGGCAGCAGCCATCATGACTCGGCTTCAGCAGGTCTTGGGAGGAAGCGCTAGCAATGTATGGGGAGGTGCTGGGCCCAGCGTCGGATTGGCGGAATCCAGCATCGTAGGAGATGTGACGTGAGTTGGAGTTTGGCACAGAGTTCAGAGTTGTTCTTCTTCTTCCCATGCAGTCGGACCTGATTTATTGTTCAAGAGACTTGTGGAAGCGTCGAATGTTCAAAGCCGATGTGGCGAGGTTGACCTGGATGCTTTCCAAGATTCAGCGGGAGAAGTGCTAGATCGGCTTCTGTGGGGGCCTTCAGTGCTGGAAAGGGCTGTGCACCTCCATGATAATCATGGTAGATCCTGGTACACAGTCCATTGTCTTTAGTTTGGTCAAGCAGGGGGCCCGGACGTGCTCTGACCAAGTCTCAGGCTGGATACCATGGATGATGTCATCGCTGGTCGATTGAATTGGTCATGACCCTAGAAACCAAAATGGATGCCACTAGCCACTAGGTGCTCACCTTTTGTGCCGGCCTCCAGCTTTTTCCATTCTATTGTTGATTGGATGCAATGCTGAACAAGGTTCGCCATAGCCCTAATCCCATAGGTTTGCGAGTTCACTGTTGATTGTAGCAATCTCAGGATGCGACCACTGCCAAGAGTCCGTGATCGGCGGCTCTAGGGTAGGGCAAGCGCGTGACTCATTGAAATGCTGTTTCATTTCTTGTATACCATTTGTGTTTTAGTAAGTTCACAATGTGCTCACCCAAATAAAGCCTGCCATCATGCTTGGTTTGGTTGGTCTCGGCATGTAGTGACCACTTTTTCGCATGGCTGCGGCTGCGCATGAGTTTCACGGAGTCTCACCGCTTTCGCAACACCACATCACTCATCTTGAGAGGACTAGCTGTACTCGTTGCAGCTTGCCTTTCTTTTGCGCTGCGCGAATCATGCGCAGGCTGTACAATTCGGCAGCTCGAAAATTAAGATTTAGTTGGTTCGGAAGGCTTTAGACGTTCTAGCCACTTTCTGCTTTCAAGAGCACCTGCTTGGCTTTGCTCAAACAGAGGTGCTCTCCATGTGCTCTCCGGCTCTCTAGTCATAACGCATGACACTTTCTCAAAGGGAAGCAACCATCAATGAGTCACTTCCTTTTCCTCACCAATTTTCTTCAGCATGCACTCGTTTTAGACATCGTTCAACCAGAAACAGTGGGAGGTCACCGACCTCGCCAAATCTACTAAGTGCGCCCAAGTGGACAGTGGTGCTTTCTACTACTAGCAAGAAGCTACGAACGGGGCTGGCCTTACTACTAGTAACAAGAAGCTACTAGTAGCTCCTGGCCTTACTACTAGGAGCAAGGACGCTACTAGGGGCTCCTGGCATCGCTACTAGTAACGACAAGCTACTAGTTGCTACGAACGGAACAAGCCACTGAGACGCTGACGACGCTCACCGAGACGCCGAGCGTCGAGATCGGGCGGAGCCATGTTCGACCAAAACTGGCTTAAGAGGCGAGGAGATCGACACGGAGAACGGGAAGGGAATAGACATGGCGCGCCACGTTGAGGAAGACCCAAACAAGTGAATCCTCTTATTTTTGACGGATGTCAATCGATCCAGTAGTTATGGGGGCTTGAGCCGCACCCACATATCACTTAATATGCCATGCAGTTGGTGGAAAAAGATAGGATGGAGTTTTAGATGTTTTAGTTCCTTGCCCAGGCATATGCTGGCGAGCCAAAACAAGGCCAAGACAAAGCAACACTGCGTTTAGCTGCTTTTGGTTTTGGTCACCTTGTTTGTAAAGTCAGGACGCTGGCAGAAAGAAGCCGAAGCCCAAGTGGACACAGATATGCCTCACAGATTCTATGCTTGCTTGTAAAGCCTCACAATCATTCTTCCAATGACGCCAGTTCAGTCAGGGAAAGCACTAGCGCCCACTGCCCTTTTTTGTGGAGGGCAATTTGTTTCACGATTATTTGTTTTTCCTGGTGGTCAAGGCAGGACGGTAAAGGAAAGGAAGGGAAGGCAAAGGAAGGAAAGGAAGGAAAGGAGCAAACAAGCAACCAAGGGTAAATTTTGAGTTGGGAGGAGCCATTCTGAAGTTGGGCCACCTGAAGGTAACATTTAAAGTTTCTTTCACGGTGGCGCTGCGGCCTCCCGCGCCGCGAAATTTTCTAGAAACTTCTGTGGGCGGTTGCTTTTAGGTATGGCCTTTGTTGGCCACTGTTGCCTGGCTTCCACCGACTTGTTTTGGTGCTGGGCCCTTCCCGCAACATCCCTCCCCTTCCATTTTCCTTTCAATTTCGTTTTACTGTATTTTCCTTGGAAATTGGAAATCCTTGCCCAAGAAGAAAAGCATTAGAGATTAACATCAAGTTTCCGAGCCCCTCTTGTTTTCCTCTTGACCTCCGACTGAGGCCTCCTGACCCCTTCGATGAGTCGCCAGCTCTCCACGCGAGGCGGTCATGCTTTACCGGCGGCTGGGAGCTGCGGAAATTGGATCGAATTGGCGGCCCCATGTAGCGCTGGATTTCTGTGTGAAATTGCAATTTTGTTTGCAGAAAGTGCCATTCAACGAAAGCTGCGCTGGTGTCGTTCGTGTTAGCGTTAGCTGTTTTTTCTTGCTTTGACGGAGGGAAGCCTGAGTGCCAACAGTGATTTTTCACTAGAACCCGTAGAACCCCCTCCCCACCACAAAGACAAGGTAATCGTGCCGTTACAGTCAGGCATCGTTGATTCTTTGAACAAGCATTACACGGTGACACACTCGCCTCCTTTGCAACAGATTGCAACTGCACGAGTCTGGAAAAAGGATTTCGAGCCTTTGGACGCTACGAACGGGGCTCCTGGCCGTACTACTAGGAACAAGGACGCTACTAGGAGCAATTCAGCTTTGCAATGTATAGACTTCTATTATAACAAGCTCAAGTCTCTCTTCTCTAGACAGATCTGCTCCTGCAAGCCTTGGAAAAGCGATGCAGGCAGGGACTTGGCTCCAATGTGACTGCAAAGTCCATTGCAAAGCCGCCCTCTGCCCAGCAACCTGTTCGAAGCCTGGAATCTGCGGAAACAAGACACTGGGGGAATCACTTGGAACAGCAGTTCTATTTAGCCATCATAGCTTGCATTCCTAGGTCTCTTGTATTTTTATCAGCTGCAAGTAAGCATACCTTTTGACAATTGTCAATGTGGAGATTGGCCGTCACCTTCCTGTTGATCCGGAAACAAGAGATTTTGATCAATCTGGATTCCTCGTTTTTGGATTCGGACGACCCCCCGTACATCCTGGCCTTGGCCCGCCAAGGCCTTTCGACCCGCCGAGGTGATTCGGAGCTGTCCGGTGTGTGGGAAAGTTTGCCAGCGAGATGTTCCAAAGTGCTGGGAATGCCTTCAGAAGGTGTCCAGACTCGCTGTGGGCGAAATTCGAACTGTGGCCGCCTGTTTGTGCTGTGCCACTGGTGCTTTCCCAGGAGACACAGGCGGCACCAAGCAAGACTGGTTCCGAAAGCGGGTCCCAGATTGGCAGGCTTTCGGCGGCCAGTGCACGATTTTCGTCAGATTTCAAGACGGCTTAAAGGGTGGCTTTCACAGC